TATATATTTGGTCTTGGTTCACAGTTCCGGGCTCCTGGCTCTCAAAACCCCTGGAATTTCCTAAGTGTGGACAGTGATAAAGGTGTCGTTTGTTATGTTAATGAGGCAACTTTAGGAAAGCACCTAAGGGTGGGGGCTGGTTGCCAATGGAGCCAACTGTGTGATTAAAGGGTGGGACTGAGGAGAGAGGGGCTGGAGGTCAAATCAATCGCCAGTGGCCAATGATTTAATCAACCATACCCACGTAATGAAGCCTCCATAAAAACCCCCAAAATGGCAGAGTTCAGAGTTGGTGAACACCTGGAGGTGCTGGGAGAGTGGTGCCTGGAGAGGGCACGGAAGCTCCATGCCTTTCCCCGTGCCTCACCCTAGGCATCTCTTCCAGCCAGCTGCTCCTGAGTTACATCCTTTTATAAGAAACCAGCGATCTAGTGTGTGAAATGTTTCTCTTAGTTTTGAGAGATCCTCTGGCAAATTCATTGAACCCGAGGAGGGGTCACTGGAACCTCTGACTTACAGCCAGTAGGTCAGAATTAACGGTAACAACCTGGACTTGTGACCTGCATGGGGAGTGGGGGCAGTCTTGTAGGACTGAACCCTTAACTTGTGGAAAACTGATGTTCTCTCTGGGTGGACAGTGTCAGAATTGAGTTAAATTCTTGGACACCCTGCTGGTGTCTGAAAATTTCTTGGTGTTGGGAGGGAAGCACCCGCTACCTGACCCCCTACACGTTTGAATTGGGTCCAGGAACTCAAAAGAATGCTACAATCACAGGCATCTAGTCAGTTAAGAATTTTAGTGCCTATATTTTCTTTCTTTTGAGGACAGAGAGTTTCCAAGTCTATCAAGTAATACTCACTATAAGGACGATCTCACTGAAATCTGTACATTAATTTTACTAATTTACATACTAGGTATGGAGGGGAAACAAAGGTTGAATTTATAACATATTCTTTGCATTAAGAAGGCTTGGGACTATACATTTGTATTTATATAATTGTTTATGGTTTAGCATCTTACCAGAAATACTTCACTTTATGAAGAATATTTTATAATATTGTTTCAATTTCGATTTTCCCATGATCATTAATAACAATTTGCATTGCAAACACTCTGCTGGCAAGCAACTTTTCAGGAACACACAAAATGAATAAAGCAAGGCACACCTAAATTACTAAGTAGCCTGCCTTCAACTATCCAGCTTTAAGCATCTTTATTTAGACCATTCCCTTCATTTGAACTGGGCTGACATGCTGTCAGATTACAGTGCCAAGTCTAAGAAGAAGTTAAATACCATGGACAGCTGCTTTCTAGGCCAATGACAGCCTAGCACCATAGCAGATCAGGGGACCGCAGCAGGCAGGCCAGGCACACTGCAAAACATGCCAGATGCCCTGAAACTCCATTGCTTCACATCCTGCAGGATTCAAATTAATTCCTAACCAGCTCTGGAGAGGTTTTTGGAAGATAGTCCCAATCATTTATAAATAAAAATACCCTTAAAACAAAAACCTCTGCTTAGCATAGATATTTCTAAACCACAGTCTACAAAATAAACTTTCAGGACAACAAAGGCATTTGAAGGTTTCCTTGGAGTTTATAATAATGTCTTCCCTGCATATGTTCACTGTATATGAAATTAGGCTTAAAAATATTATAATATGACAAATATCACATGCCCCTAAGGGAGACAACAGCCTGCTTAAACTCAGTGATTCACTGGCATGAACTACAATCTTCAAGGAATATTTTGAAATTCTCAAATTGGAAATAATTTATCCTGATTCACTTTTCATTTAAGAACAAAAGATGAAAGGAAAGGAACTAACACTTAGTGAACAGCCCACAAGGACTATGTTAGCTGCTTAACATTCATTTCTTCATTTAGTAATTTTCCCAACTTTATGAAGTAGGTATTATTATTTTCATTTTCCTAATTAGGGAAATGAGGCTCATGAGTTTATGGGACTTCTCTGAGGTCACAAGTCTTATTATACGCCTGGGCTAACACCTTTTTTCCCTGAATCAAAGCCCAGGATCTCCTTACCATGTCATGACACTACACGACATTTTTTGAAACAATAATATTATCACTAAAAGATGCAATAAAAATATCAAATTAAAAAACCAAACACCAGGTGGAACAGTTAAATAAAATGGGAAACTATTACTTTAAATATGAGAAAAATGTTTGTATTTTCTATTTTTTCATGCTCCACAGTTGCCCCATCATCAATAATGAAACCAAATTAAGATTTTCAACTGGTCCATGAAACAAGCAGTTTCAAAGATATTTCACTGTCTACAGCCCAGCAGAATTGATGAGTTTTTAGTAAGAACCATTGATGACTTGTATAAAAATATCTAAAATATGTTTCCTCCACTTTCCCATACTCCCCTCTTCCATAATTGTGCAATTAAGACAATGAGGTAGCTTTGCCTAAAAATATGCTTAGTATTTTGCTTCCTAAACTCTTGTACAGCACATTCCTCTCTATGAAGACTCCATTGAGGGCTGTCTTTGGCTTAAGGTCTTTTTCTGAGTGTTCTAATGATGTTAGAAGCACTGACTTAGGTAGGAAAGGTGGAGTATACAGCCAGAAATCGACTTTGCAGATCAGAGAACAAGACAGCCAAGCTCAAAGACTCATCCCTCCTTGAGACACCTTATGTTCAGTGCTTAGAGAGCAAAATCTCCATAAGATTCTGAAGTCAGACATCTGATAAAGACCAACTGCTGAAAAAATTTTTTTCCAACAATTATTCAAAAGTGAAATTGGCAAGGTAAAATTTCCTAAAGGAAATCACACATCCTTATGTACTGTTCCACCTAAAAATATCTGCGTTCCAGCACACCGAACAAAACTTAGCTATGTTAAAAAATTCTGGTCCCATGATAATTTATAGTTCAATCTAGTTACTGAATGACAAAATAAATAATAATGATTAAGTGGAATAAACTAAAGCTATTTGGTGCTCAAAGGAAAATAATAAAATGAACATATTTTGGAGGTAAATCAGAAACAGGAGATATAGTCATGAATATAATTTGGTTTCTTTTTTAATTAGGTAAATCCAGAATTCCAAAATTTTTAAAATGCACAATATTAAGCATAGCAAAAATTATGGATATGAGTAACAACTTTAAGGAATGCCAGCCTAAGTTATTGACTTTTAAATTACCATTAAAATGACATGACAGTCACCTAATATAGTAGGTAAAAATCCTGCAAGAGCTGATTTAATGAGTGACTTATAATTTATTAAAAACCTTCTGTAAACCGTATTTAAAAGGTTATTACTAAATGCACAAAACCACCTCCTTCCTCCCTATTAGAAGACAAAATCCCCCTGCAGTCTTCAATACACCATTGGACTGCTCTGCAAATTCCTTTTTCATACACGTTGCCAACATAACCTTTAGCCGAGTCTGTGCCTAATAAAGTTCCACTGCGGCACACCAAAACGAAAAAGTACTGAGTTCTCAAAAAGACTTTTTATCTTTGATGGGCCCAGGATATTTATGAGACACCCAATCATTCCCTTGCCTCTAAAAAACAGGCCTTTCCCTTGGCAACTGTTTAGCATTCTAATTGGAATATACACATAGACGACTAATGCAAACCACTGAAACTTGTAGCCAGTCTTGAGGAGATGGCTTGAGGGATCATCCTTTGGGCTACAAAATTAGATCAGGGACTGGGCTCCAGTGATGACCCTGTCTTACGCCCTCAAGGATACAGACTCAGTATCACATCTGAATGCTTATTTGCCACGATTTTTTTTTTTTTTACTACAGTTTCTAACAACCAACCGTACACTGAGTGATACGTTAGAAAAAATACAGTATAGAACATTTCTTTTTTGCATGGAATAAATAGAAATATTACTAGTGGTTTTTTTGTCTGTGCTTTGCTTCTGTTTCACGGCTGCTACAAAAATGATGGATGGTCATCAAACTTGAACATAAAGGAATTATGCTAAATTAATATCATTTTTTTCTTCATTCTGGACAAAACAGCTCACCCTCCACTCAACATCCGTTTTTTGCATACATGAGAATTTCCCCAGATGCAAGTATGAAAAGTCTGCATATGTATTTTGTTTTACTGTTTAAAGTCACATTCCGAGACGACATTCCAATGTTAGGATATAGATCAGAATGGCATTACTCTACTTAACAGAAAATTTTATTGATGTGGCCCATGGATTATTTTTAATAATTAATCTATATTTTTGCAGATCAATTTCTTCTAAGCTCTTTACCAACTTGCTTGCTACCTAAGTGGTAGGATGGCCATTAAAATGTCATTAAAACTCCCTCAAATCCTACCATAAAAAATATTTTGGGTCATGTTTATCATGGCGTGCAAAATGGGCCCTCGAGCTACAGAGGCAGGCAGCATGGCTTGCCACTGACTCTTTCACATATCCCGATCGGTGCCTGGTCGAGTGGTCTGAAGCACTATTGTGTGCATCAAGAAGAATGGCCATGACCCATTCTAACAACCAGTCCTGCTAGGCCCTAGGCTGCTGACTTAAAGATCCAGCTCTGCTGACACAAACAAACTTTCTTCGCTAAGCACCTTTAAAGAGATGGTTCTTGATAACTGTCACATGTTCATTTAAATCGAAAAAGCCCTGCAACTTGCAAGGCACACACACACACTTTCCCATGAAAATAAAACGGCTCACAAAAATAAGAAAATAAGCGACAAATAACTGCTGAGCCTGCTCTGAGAAGATTATGTAACCTATATTTATAAATGTTTTACTCTGAGGCAAGTAGCTTGAGAACTTAGTAGACATTCCCCAGAATACCCCCCAAATTATTTTTTCCACTGTCATGTTGGTCTGGCTGTCAAAGAAATGCATAAAGCACCCTGCTATTCATTACAGCCCCAAACACCATCCCATTTAAAAAGTGGCAGATCTAAAAAACATAAGAGTTCCGAACTACCGTCAAGAAGACATTAAATAAACAACCATCACCACCAACCTTTGCTTGGGCCTCTGGTGCTGTCACCTTGACGACTTTGTTGCGGTTTATCATTTGCTTCACCCATCTTTCTACTTGGACGTTGAATTTCATGAAAACCACATAGCCAAAGTAAGCTGTTAAGAGAAGCAAGCTTTCCCACCACATGATAAAGTTATCCAGGAAAAATATGATCAGCATGATCAAGTCAATGATGTAGAAGGACACATCCCGAAAGAGTGGCCACCATGTCAGGTTTAAGATTTCTCTGGAAAACAGAGCACACATGCCAATGACAAAGAGGATGTTGAACACCGCTGAGCCCACGATTGTGCCAATGCCAACATTGCTGTGAGCGATAAATACCCCTATGAGAGATGTGAAAAGTTCTGGGGCTGAGCCCCCGGCAGCCATAAAGGTGGCTCCAGCCACGTCATCAGAGATGCCCAGTTTTTCAGTGATGACAGTCAAAGAGGGAACAAAGAACTCATCGCAGACAATGGCTAAGGCTATGAACATGTAGATCATTCCAATGACATGGAGAATGATGGCACCTTTTCTTCGCTGCTCGAGGGAAAAGATGTCTCTTGGGTAGTCTCCTTGGGCATGAACTGTACTATTCTCAGATTTGCCTTCCTGAGAAACAGGTGGCTGTGGAGTATAATCTCGAATCTTGTCATTTAAATCTAAGAGAGTTCTTTGACGGTAATCGTGTGCTACCCTGGGGCCACTTGCACCACTGGCCTCTCCTGTGCTCGGTGTCTCTGTCTCAGAAAAGGCATTGATTGAAAACGGAACAGTGCTAATGGCTACCAGGCCCATGAAAAGGCCTAAGATTCGAATCAACTTCAGTTTTTTTCTGACATTATAATGTCTCCTGCAGCCAGACGGTGACTTATCTGAACACCATTTCTCAAGGAAAGATATGGTGGTGGTGCTTTGGTGCAGCTCCATCCTGGGTCTTCTGGTGGATGTGGTGGTCTTCGAATTGTACACTCAACCAGATGGTTCTTTCATACTTTTCCTCACTTTACAGTTAACAGTGCTTCTGGGGTGCTTCCACAATCAGAGATTCTTAGGCTTCACATGAAATATTTTCAACATTTATGCTTAAATAAAAATAAAAACAAGGATATGTGAATCGTAAAATCATGTCTTTTTTACAAAACAACTTGGCAGATATGAAAAAATCCTATCCTGTAGCCATGTGACCTTGGGTTAAGTTCCTTAATTTTTCTGTGTCTCAGTTTCCCCATTTCAAAAATTAGGACAATTACAGCACCTACCACCAAGTGCTGCTTTGAGGATGAGTTAAAATACATGAAGCATTAAGAGTAGGACGTGACACATACTAGGCACTTATGATAGTATATGTACAAAGGCAAACATTTTGGTAAATCCAATGTTAGACATAGACTATATATTTGTGTCTGTTAAATACAAAAATTTTATAGATGTAGATGGAAATCTATGTTTATCCCACCTTAACTCATGTAACAAATAACCTCCCAGGGCTAAAAAAGGCATCACTTCCTTTAGAATTATCTACGTATTTGACAACCAAAAACCACTGTCTTTTCTTTTGGTCCAATTATATAATTCCAGTTGCAGGCACACTTTTCTGATTAATCTATCACTTGGCAAGGGCTGAGTGTTGGAGGAGACAGCACTCTTTTCCTGCACACATAAAGATCTCAGGATCCTATTTTTCATGGAAAGCCCCTCCTATAGCAAATGCAGAAAAGTAGCCCTTTAAAAATTTAAGTTTACAAAAGAATGTTCTGATGACACGAACAAACTGTCTTCCCTAAATATCTAGACACTGTATTCAGCTAAAGCTTATTTTAAAAAACAACCTTTAGTCGTATTTAAAATAGACAACTTAGTAAAGCAAACAACTTCTAACAAGTAGGCTACTTCAAGACATCCAATGTGTATTTCATAAACAATATGCAAGTTGCAGTGATACCTCTGTCCACAAAATTTGCCAAAAATAGCCCTGACACGACTCTCTAGTAGGTTAGATACCCAAGCAGTTTTCATTCTCTGTCTCCACAGAGAAGGGTAAAATACCCACACATGACAGCTGATATTCCGAAGGTTCCCCTTTTTAATTTTCTTTAAAAAACAGTTTTGTTTTGGGGTTTTGGTTTTTTCTTGTATCAACGATTTCATTTTAGAGGCATTCGCTGAGATCATCTCAGGTGTAAAATAAGCTAATTAAACACACGCCAGTGACACACTGAGATTAGCTGGAACTCAGGTTTGCAGAGGGAGCCCAAATCAAACCAGGCTGAGATGCTGTTACTCCTGAGATAAACCTAACCCAGCACAGAGATTCCCGGCTGGCCTGACAGATGTCTATGCTTAGCGTGAACGATTAAGCGACTCACTGCGCTCAGGAGATTGTCACAAAGCTCGGCCGGGGCAAACGTCAGGGACAGACTCAACTCCCAGGGTGCGCTATCGGCTCCAGCCTGAGCCGGGCTCGACCTGCAAAACCCACCGCTCCGCCGGCGAAGTGCACCCCCAGCCGCGCCCCAACTTTGCCGTGTGTGGTCCCAAACTTTCCCTGGTGGGTTCATAGGAAAATAAAACTGAAGGACAGACGCCCCACTAGCGAGCCAGAGGCTGGGATGCAGTTTGAGGAGGGGCTTGGCCGGCATCTTCCCGAATCGTTGGTGAGTAGGTGGGGAAGAGGAGCGCCCCTCTTTGCGCCTTCCCCGACTGCAGGCCCTGCCCAGCGCCCCCTACCCCGAGCCGGAAGCAGGGGCGGTTGGGGTGGGAGAAGTCGGGGCTCGGAAACCCCGCCCGGGAGCGGAGAGAGTTGGCTAACTCCTTTCGGGGCCTGGGGCACCACGTCCACCGCGGAGCTACCTGTGAGCCTGCAGCGGGATGCGCGCAACCGGGATACGGGGACAACGACTACTGCGGCCACCAAGCCTGGCGGCTGGCCGGGGCTCGACCGCCCGCACTTACCGGGATCCGCCAGGAGAACGCGCACACGGCGGGGGCCCGAGCGCGGCCCGCCGCTCCGGTCCTCCGCTTTCTCCGGCCCTCCGCCTCCTCGCTCCGAGGCCCAGGCTGCGTGCGGCTCGCACTCGCCGCCGCTCTCGCCGTCCGGGACTGGGCTGGGGAGGAGACTGAGCCGCCGCGAGCCCCGCGCGCCGCCTCTGGTGCTGCCGGGCCCCCTCCGGCCCCTCCCTCTCGCCTCCGCGCGGGGAGCGTGGCCGCAGGGCGCTCTGCTCCCGCGCTCTCTGCTCCACGCCTCCTGGGCGCAGAGGCGACGCCGGCAGCCGTCCCTTCGCAGATTTCTCTGCAGTGAGGACGGGGGTCAGGATTTGCAGACGAGCAAGGACGGAGAGGAGAAATCGTACAGGACGGTGACGCGCCTGATTACCAAAGCCTGAAAGTGTTGCCAACTTTAGGGTCATCTCTGCTGGGCCCCTCCTCTCCAATTATCTGCAAAAAGTGACAGCAGTCACACATTTAGGAGGCCATGTAATGTGTAATGGCAACAAAGACGATCAGTGAAAAGGCAAGAAGGCCTGCAGGGTTGTATGTTCAGGCCCAGGGTTTCTGAGGTCTCTGGTTTGGCTGGCTGGGACACTGAAGGATCTTCAGTCTTGCAGTCGGACCTTTAATTTCGTGGGTGATGAAACTGAGACCCAAGACATTGTCATTTTGAGTCAGAGACAGCGTTCATATGCTGGCCTCTGGACTCCAAGCCCAGTGAAAGCAAGATCCCCCCACCACAATAAGTTGAGTCAGGCTTGTTGGGGACTGGAGGCAAGAATCTGGGCCAAAGAGTGGGCGAAGGTAAGACAGACGGGTTACTGCGGGAAGCCACTTTTACCCGGCCCTGCGATCACCACCAAAACTGCCAAGAGGGACCCACCAGGAGAAACCTTTCATCAAACGTTTTCTGCTCTCTTTACCCTCCACTCTCCTCTTGTTTTCCACTTAGAGAGGGTTTCTTCATGCTTTCCTGGGTCTAGGAGGAATGTTGGTCATATCTGGAAAACTCACTACCTTTGACTTTGGGTAAAACTCTATACTCAGACCTCTACATTTCCTCTTGATAAGTCAAGAGCAGCCTGGAGAAATTAGAAATCTCTTTTTCTCCCACCAAAGCCAGGCATTTAATACTATTGTCTTGCTAAGGATTTAAGGTCCTATTCTGGAAGTCATAGTGTGAACTTTAAAAATATTTTTTATTTTGGAAGATTCCAGATGTTTACAAATATAAGAGAATAGTATAATAAACCTCCAATAGGGCCATCACCCAGCTTGAACAACTATCAACTCACGGTCAATCATATTTCATCCAAATCCCCTTTCCCCGTGCCATCATTTTAAAGCAAATCCCAGACATTGTATCATTTTATTTATAAATATTTACAGAAATAAAGGAAGCTATCAACCACTTCTTGTGTCAGGAAGACTAAGGAATCAATTCAAATAGGCTCCCACTAGACAAGGATAGACCAATCTGAGCACCAAAAATTGATAACAATTGCAATTATTTCAAACGTATCAAATATGATTATATCTATAAGTTCATAATGATACTAAAGTAACTCGACTGGTCGCTGTTGATGGGTAAGAAGGAATGAACTCATTATTTTGAAATTGTTTTAGAAAAAAGAAAACAATCATGCATTTAATCTGCCTTTTCCATACAAACTGGACTTCAGGGTAACCAATTAGCCTTTACTTCTGCCCTGCCCTTGTCTTTGCTTTCCTAGTCTAATAACCCTAATCTTCCCTGACACAGTGATGCATCTGGCTAAGAAGATCTTGTATACAAAGTTCTGCTTAAAAGAAAACAATTATATATATTTTTAAAAATCACACCCTTCCTACTAGGATCTTTACAAATGTTATCCAGCTGACTCCCCCCAGAGCCCACAGATGACCCTGAATCTCCACTTGGTGGGAAGGGGAATGAGGCCCGGATGCAGGTTGTATTGGCTGGGGTTTGTACTTGGCTGCGTATAACAGAAACTCATCCTTAGTGATTTAACCAAATAAGAGTTTAATTTTTGCGTGTAAAAACAAGTCTGATTTAAATCTTGATTTCTAATATACTGTCAAAAAACATTTTAATGTAAGTAATCAAATTAGTATTTTTCCGTGGCTCTTCAATAATGAACTAATTCAACTTTATTGTTGGGATTACATTGTCACTTAGGCAATGATTATCAGGATTTTAAAACTTAATGACTTGTTATTCTAAGTTTGCTGTTTCAAACTTTTGTCAAGCACATTTCAAAATAAAGAAAAAAGGCTGTAAAATAAATAAATAAATAAATAAAAAGAAGTCTGAAAGCAGACTGTCCACGGTTTGCAGAGGAGCTCCACAATGCCATCAAGGAACCCAAATCCTTTATCTATCTTCCTTAATGTATGACTTTTATTCTCATAGCCACAAAATGCTTACCTCTTTCAGACATCACATCTGTGCTCCAGTCAGGAAGAAGGGAAAAAATGAAGAGTGAAAGACAGAAGGCCTCCTTGCTAGGCTTGGCCTTTTCATTTAGGAAAGGACATGCTGTCAAAACTTCTCTTACATTTCATTGGTCACAACTTGGTCACATGGAGCTGTCTAGCTGCAAAGGAGTTAGACTAATAACTGGGCTATTAATCAGCGTGTAGAAGATCAGGGATATACTAGATTTATACTATAGAAGGGGAAACGAATGTTGGGTGGGTGACTAGCAGTATTTGACACACAGTTCTATAGTAGCTCTATAGCAGCTCAATGAGATCCACATCGGACTGAAGATCTAGCAGCTGAACTTGGCAGTCAACTGCCATGACAGTTGAGAAGGCTAAAACTGCTGTCATTGTAGTAATGGAGAAAAGCTGGCCTATCGTTTGTCTAGGTCACACGATATGAAAGCAGTAAAACTGAACAACACCTGTAGGTCTCCCAGGTCCACACACCTTACTGCCTGGTCATGAAGAAAAAGGGAGCCTCATGAGAAAATTTACTACTACCACATGATGACTTATTACAGAGTAACCTTGATCAAGTTCTTTGCTAAGAGATTTAAGTAATCAATGGGTATGGATTATTATTAAAGAGCCAACTCTTTATTTATTTTTAGATATCTGCATAAGTATACACATTAGTTGGCATCATATTTATCCTTCTACTAACTGTATGATTTATTTGAACATAGAGTTTATGGAGGTCATTGGTAATTACCAGTTAAGAATGATGGGATGGGCTCCTGTTGTAATTCTGGAGAGGAGCCTTTCAAAATTCAGTAATGACTGTTTAAAGGTACGGGGTCATACTTAAGCTAATAAGGACTTTTTCATATAAAACTGCCAAAGGAAAAAAGAAACCAGGTTCTGCTTCAAGATGGTGACATAAGAGGATGCTGCACTCACCTCCTCTGACGAACACTCCAAGTCTACACACAGAACAACGTCCTCTGAAAAAACAAACAGCAACAACAAAAACTGGCTGAGTGACTCTTACCCATTGGGTAGGAAAGGCTGGGACACAATTTTACTGTAAGCCCCACCCTCAGTGTGGTGACCCAGAGTCAGGAGGGAACTAAACGCAGAGTTGAGAGAGGCCTATTTTCTTGTCTTGGCGTGTTAGCCTGAGGGACAGACATCCGATTTGGGGGCCTGCTGGGATGCTCTCTGGGGAGAGAGACTGATGGGAACCATTTTTTCTGCTCTCCCTCTGCCTTGGGGGCACCACCTTTTTCTTTTTTTAAAACTCTAGGCTTTCTTCCTCCCCCTTGCTTGCTTGCTTGCTTTCTCTTTCTTTTCTTTCCTCTCTTTCTTCCTTCCTTCCTTTCTTTCTTTCCTCTCTTTTCTCTTTCTCTCTTTCTTTCCCAGTGGGCACCATCTCTGTGCTCTCCCTCTGCCTTGCTCCAGAGCACCAGTATCTCTTGGAAGGGATCTTTTACACATGTCTGGTGTCCCGGTTTTTACTTCTGGTGCCCAGTCTGTCACCCAGAGGATAACCCTGGATCACTTGGCTCTGGTAACCAAGAGGGCTTACACTTGTTGTCCCAGAGGACTGTATATATTTGTATTCTTTAAAAGCTGCTACTTGAGCATTTGGCTTCAATCAGCCTAAATCTAGGTGCTGACTGAGATTCCCCACTTTGGGACACTGACAGATCTTGGCACACCCTCAACTACTGAGAGCCACTAAAAGTAAAATAAGCTGCTTGGACAATCACAAAACTTTGACAGGCAACCAAGAGCTAGGGTAGGTTTGAATGATGAGGTTCATCTTCTACATGAGGCCACTCCTTCAAGACTGGGAGAGGTGGCTGTTTTATCTAATGCATAGAAACCACACAGAGAGTCAAGCAAAATGAAGAAACAGGAATATGTTCCAAGTGAACGAACAAGATAGGGAATTCCCTGGCGGTCCAATGGTTAGGACTCCACGCTCTCACTGCTGAGGGCCCAGATTCAATCCCTGGTAGGGGAACTAAGATCCCACAAGCCGCGTGGCATGGCAAAAAAAAAAAAAATCCAAAACAAACAAACAAACAAAAACCTTAATGAAAACTGCCAAAGGGATACTAGTAAAACTTACTAAGCACCCGTATCATTTTCACATAGAAACACAGGATGGTGTGATTTAAGGTAGGGTTGGGAAGGTTCCCTTTCCCCCATCCAAAATGACATCCCCAATGGGCACTGTGCCTACAATTCCACCATGAGTAATTTGTTATTTTGGCTTTTTATTTTACATCTTTGGGATTTTTTTTTACAAAAGTAAGTGGCTCTAGAGTTATTGTGATAATAAACAACTTTACATTGCTTTTGACTTGACATTTAGTCTAAAGGAAAACAAAATTCTAGCAACTTTTCATAAGAGGAAAGTGGAAGAAAGAAAGCTGAGTGAGCCAGAAAGTTGTGGGCAACAAAGGTAAAGATGACATATTTAGGTTTTACTTTGTCAGTTTAACCACTTTTTTCAATCTCTTCTGATGTGCTTTTTTTTTCTCCTTTCTAGTATAATCTCTAGCTTCTCTGTTATCAACATCTGCAGGCAATCAGAACATATATGAAAGATTCAATGTGCACAAAAGCAGTAGTTCCCAACCTTGACTCTTGTTAAACATTAGAATCAATGGGGGATAGTTTTAAAAGACTCTGATAGGGGCTTCCCTGGTGGCGCAGTGGTTGGGAGTCTGCCTGCCGGTGCAGGGGACACGGGTTCGTGCCCCGGTCCGGGAGGATCCCACATGCTGCGGAGCGGCTGGGCCCATGAGCCATGGCCACTGAGCCTGCGCGTCCGGAGCCTGTGCTCCACAACGGGAGAGGCCACAGCAGTGAGAGGCCTGCGTACTGCAAAATAAATAAATAAAATTTTTAAAAA